CCTTTTCAGTCATAGTTAGCTCAATTTAACATAATTTAAAACAAGTGAACAAATATATCAAACCTATCAATATCAAACTTTGAAGTGTATCCAAATATCAAAAACAATGTATGTCATGCCTTCATACTAAGCATAATCAGATATCAAGATGGACCGAAGCCCCAAATCAAGTAGGGTCAAAACCCAATAAACAAGAGAATCAAGAACCATATTAAAAATGGCTTCCTAGTTCGTACTTAACACAGACAAGTTCCATAATTCAAGACGAACTACAAATCCAAAGTCAAGATGGCAAAAGATCCGAATCAAGAGGCATGCCAAGATGAGTGACAAAGTCACTGCCACAAGAAGGACAAAGTCCCAACAAGAATGCAAAATGATCAAACAATCCGTACGAATGGGCGATTTAGCAAATATCTTACAATACTTGATATAGTACGAATATAACAATATAAATTGAAGCCAAGAAAAATAAAATATCAAGTTATTTCAACATATTCCAGCAAGCAAAAATAGTACAAGTTTATACACAAACCTTGGTGTTTTACCACGAAACAGTTCAATTACAACTTGGGGACGTTCGAATCGTCTACGCCGTAAACAAACCAAATCTGTCCACTTCCTCAAACACTTCCCCTTTGATTTTTTTTCAAGGGTTTATATACCTTAAATACATAATCAAATGTCTAAATAAGTTCAGTGATTTATCAAGTCAAACTAAATGTGATATTGGTGAAAATTACCCAAGAATGTTTGAAACAGAAATTCTGGACAGTATCACTGTTCCGAGTTGTGACTCAGTTTTGAAGATCTATACGGACAAACTAGACTTTCTAGTCTTTACAAAAGTTGTAAATCTATGTCTTACCGTTTCAGAAAATCTTTAATAACCTCCATATCAATTTTGAACAAAAAGTTATGCTAAAATTACTAACAGCAGTACATAGAGTATTTCTAAAACTGGAAATCTGGATAGCACATGCCCTGTACTTTCTGATCCTCTTTCAGGTAAATACCAACAAAACTAGATTTTGGTTACTTCATAAGAGTTATATATTTATGAAATACCTTTCCAGAAAGTCCTGGATCACTTAAATCGGAGCTAAGTTCAAAAATATATGTAGAAAATTCTAGTAGGTATCTAGTATAAAAACGAGTTTAGAAACTTACCAAGAGGAGCAACTTGATCTTCACCAAAAACGAAATTTGCTTGTTGATTTAGTAGAACTCCATGGTTTTTTTTCATGAAACTTCAGATTTCAAGTTTCTACGGAGGAGAGATATAGAGAGAGATAGAGAGAAGGAGGGATAGATAGAAAGAGAGAGATGGATTCTTTGTCTTGAAGAGTAGAAACAAAATGGTTACCCAACCACTAAATATTCTTAGATAAATACAAAAGGTTGGAAACCAAAACTTAATTATATATTATATTTAATAACAACTAGTCAAAATAATATTAAGTGTTACATATAGCAACATCATGAAACTTCATTGCCAATATTAACACAACCTAAAGTAAGAAATTTTCATATATTGACCATTTTACATTTAAGAAGTGCAAAGTAAAATATTTCCTCGTTATAAAAATGCTCAATCAAGAATGCAAATATTATAAAAAAATTTGGGGTGTTACAACTCTCTCCCCCCTAAAAAAAATTCATCTCGAAATTTATCTTGTACTAGTCCCGAAACAAATGTGGATACTGAACTCGCATACCCTCTTCTCGCTCCTAGGTAGCTTCTTCGCCTGAATGATTTCTCCAAAGAACCTTCACTAATGGGATTCTCTTATTTCTAAGCTCTTTTATCTCACGCGCTAAGATTTGGATTGGTTCTTCTTCATATGTTAAATCAGGATTAACCTCAATAGACTCAATAGGAAGAACATGAGATAGATCTGAGCAGTATTTTCGAAGCATAGAAACATGAAAGACGTTGTGGATCTTACCTAATTCAGGTGGCAAAGCTAGCTT